CGCTTCACCCACGCGCTCGGCGGCAGCTGCTGCACGCGGCTGTTGCGCATCTCCACGAGCTCCTGGGACAACCGCGCCGCCTCGGCGAGGGTCGAGGTGAGGTGGTGCAGCGCCGAGTGGACGAGGACGGAGGGGAGCTGGATTGGATGGTCCGGGGTGGAGCCCTGGGGTGGCGCGGGGGGGGGGGGTAGTGTCGGGGGGGGGGGGGTTTACTGGGGGGTTGGAAAGAGCACTCGTGTGCTTGTACGCGTGTGTGAGAGAGGGGAGAGAGGTTGCGTGCGCATGGCCTCCGGGGCGGGTCGCATGGTTGTGCGGCCGGGGCCGCGTGCGCCGCATTGCCGACGTGTGCTGCTGTACGGCGCCTGGGGGTGCACTGCCGCCCTCGCCCTCGCGGCGCGGCCCCTGCATCGCGCCCCGGGGGGGGGGGGGGCGCACCCTGCAGGCCGCCTCCAGCTTGTGCAGGACTTCTGATACCGTGTGGAGGTCATCATCCACTAAGAAACCAGAGGTGACGGGCGCGACGCCGCTGCTGAAGGCCGCGATCTTCCCAGCCACGCCTGCCGGCCGTGGGCGCGCCGGCGACACCGATAGGATGCACGCGGGCAGCGGCGGCGCGGCGGGCGGCTGCTCCGAGGGGTGGGGGAGCGGGGGAGGGCGCGGCGCGTGTCAGGCGCGGGCGCGGCCTGTTTGAGGGCGCGAGGGGCCATGTGCAGCGCGCGCGGCGGGTAGTGCGGCAGGTGCAGCTGGTCAGCGGCGCGCACCTCCCCGTCGGCGCCGGCAGCCGGTAGATCCTCTACGGCGATCGCGAGCTCGTCCTCCATCTTTCTGGCTGATCAATTGGAGGGCCGTGCAAGCAGCAGACGTGCGAGATATTCCGCCCTGCCCAGCGTGAGCGCTGCTGGGCCCAGCCGCTGTGTGAGGTGCGCGCCCAGCACCCAAAACATATGCTGGGCGAGCAGGGCCTGCTAGGGGCCGCGCCCGAGCTATAGCGTTGCGTGTTGGAGCTGCCCCCCGAGCTAAGGAAAGGCAGCAGGCTTTAAACGCGAATGGATCGGCATCCCTGGAATGCAAGACCGCCTGGTTGTCAGTCCCGAGCCCGTGCTGTGGGTGACTCGATCATTGCACCGGTCGTCGAGTACCCGAGTCCACGCCGGCAAGCCAAGGCATACGGTAGCATCGCCTGCACTTGTAGCATCTGAGGAAGCCATTTTCTATCAGCAACTCTATAGCTGTATCCGTTTCGGAGCTTCAGATCTGATCAAACACACGCACCCAATGACAGAGCGCCTGAAGCTTGGTTCAGGGCGCTCCGTTTCGGGACTGCATGGCTCCATGACCCCCGTGCAGCACATCAGGTGCCCGCCAGCACCCCGCCACACGCGCGCGCCGCCCCCGACCCGACGCCCCCACGACGCCGGCCCCCGTGAGCAGCCGCGCCCGCGGCGCCGCGCGGCGCCCCCGCGCGCCTCCGCTGGCGAGGAGGGGGACATGCCAGAGTCCAAGCTCGGCCCCAACGTCGCGGCGGGCATCCGGGACGTGCAGCAGAGCCTGGAGTGGCGGACGGCCACTGTAATGCGAAACGACGCCATCAGCCTCGACGGCGGGCAGCGGCTGCTGCACCTGTCAGTGCCCGACGATGTGAGTCGCCCCCTGCGGCGCCCCCCCTCCCCCTGCCGCGGCCGCCGCGATGCTGCTGCATCACACGCGGATCAGGGGACGCGGCCGCTGCGGGGTTCCGGCACGAAGGGCGACTGGTAACCGCGGCCGGGTTGTGCTAGGCGTTCACAACAGCCCGCCTCGCTCTAATGCACACAGGGGGGCCCATGTGATGACGTTTGATGCATCAACCATGCCCCCCATGCAGGTCGACAAGCTGTACGGGCGGCAGATGCAGGGGCGCAACGCTACCCACCGATGGATCGACTCTTACACGGTGACTCAGCGCGCGGCCACCTCAGCAGTGCACCCTGAAGCCGCGCCGGCCGTCCGCGCCGCCGCGCGCAGCCGGCCTTGCGGCGCCCTGGCCCATGCAAAGCAAGCGCCTGCCATTCGTAACCCCCCCCCACTGCCCGCGGCCGTGAAGTCTTGGTGCCATCGTTGCCTGGTCCTGGTGCCAAACTCACAACCAAGAATCCATGTATAATCCATCCATTTGAAAGTGTAACGGCCTAACCCATAAGCAACAAACCCTCAGATCGGCAAACCCTCAATCCAACAAATTCTGATTCCAACAAACCCCGTTGCCTCCCCCTCACAATACACACCCAGATTCCCGGGCAGTACGTCGGGCTGCGGTTTCCGGGAGAGACCACCCGTGCAGAGGAAAAGTCCGGCATAGAGTCCGCACGGCGGCTCTACAGCATCGCCTCGTCACCCTACGACAGCCGCCGCGACTCAGCGTACCTCGGTGCGTCCGCGTCCCGCCGGTCACGATGAGTCGTGGTGACGTCATGGGGGTGGCTGGTGTGACCGAGGGGGCGGCGCAGGCTCAGCACCAGCCGGGAGCAGCGAAGGACCCCGCTCCTCCCGTCCTGCGCTTCCCCTCTCGTCCCTGCACACCCCTCCCGCACGCCTCAAATGCCTTGGGCAGCGCGGCCTCACATTTCCCCCCTCCCTTCCCGCGGCCGACGTCGGGGGCGCAAGCCACTTCCATGCCGCCGCGCTTCCTGGCCGTCGCCCTTTGGCACGCCTCAGGGGCCAGTATCAGAGCCGGCTCTCTCGCAGCCGGCTGCGGCCGGCGGACGGGGCGCTGCCGTCGGCCCCTGGTTGCAGACCCCCAAAAAGACGCGACCCTGACGTCATCGCCCGCCCCCACCTGCCCCGCGTGCGCCAGGGGCGTCTGTGATTGAGGTGGTGGTCGACCGGCGATGGGGGGCCGACGACGCGCGGTTCGCGGCGCTGGCGCCTGGGGACACTGCTGAGGTGGGGGGCTGTGTGTATCAATGGGTGTGTGAGTGGATGTGGGCGTTTGTGTATGTGTGCAAATGTACGTGCATGTTTGAATGTGCGTGTTCATGATTGTGTAATTGTTTGTGTGCATGTGTGTGTGTGTGTGGGGGGGGGTGCGTGCGTGTGTGTGTGTGTGTGTGTGTGTGTGTGTGTGTGTGTGTGTGCGCCTGTCTGCGTGCGTGGTCTGGAAGCTGGCCAGTGCAAGGCATTACTGAGCGGTGCAGGGAGGGGGGGGGCAGAGAAGCGGGGGCAGTTGTGCTGGTGGCGCCGCCAGCTCAGCGTGCTGCCTGGCTGCAGACTGCCGCGCGTCCTTGGTTGCCGCGCGACGGCGACAATGAGGGGCACCAACAAGAAAGAAGAGGCAGCCCAGACATCCCAACAATGGTCCAGACAGCCAAGGAAAACGCAGCACGACCACCTTTCTTGACCTTTCTTCGCTGACCCTGCATCAAATACAGAGACCCCTTTTCTAGCGAGCGCCCGTGCACCGATTGCCGCTCGGGAAATATCCACCCATCAGCTGTGACGCCTCTGATCCCGCCGGCAGCCCGACCCCATCGCTTCCCCAATTTCCTCACCCCCTCACGCCCTCACCTGCTCACCCCCTCATCCCCTCACCTCCTCACACCCTCCAACCC